ATTTGAATTCAATCTGGACACCAAAGTGGTTTTTTCTTTCTTTTTTAAAAAAAATGTATAAGCACTGGTATCCCTACCTCACTGCAGGGGGAAAGAGCAAAGCAATTTAACCTGATTATTAAACAAACCCCCCCTCCTCCCCTTCTCAATCTGATGTCGCATTCAATCATCCTGCTTGACCTTTTCCCAACTTGTATTTGATGCACTTTCACCCTCTTATTTGACACAAGTAAAGGGGTTTACCTTTGACAGATGTACGCATATTGTATTTACTTCAGAGGACCTAGAAAAACGTTTTTCTTTTTTTTTTCTGAGATTCTGTGGTTGTTGTTGAAGTACCAAATGTATTTGCACAGAGAAATGTTCTTTATGTGCTGTTTTACATACATAAACACATTTCAGTAATAAAGGAAACATGAGCATCTGCTCCATTTTTCATTTTCCTCACTAGGCTGAAGACAATGGTCTCTTCTTCTCACTTACATAATGAGTGGTCATACACTGAATGCTGTATGATCCAACTTGACACATTTAGCTCCCTGCTGTGCGTCAAACATGCCCCCTGCTGGACAAAGGATGCTACACGCAATAAAGAAAAAAAAAGAGTACAAATTCCATCCCTTAGTGTCAACATGGTTGCACTTCTCATGTAGGTCTAGTTATGCAAACGTTCGGCGGCTAAACGCTGATTAAAAGTAAATACATTTTTGAAGTATGAGTTGGATGCTGATGTGCGCGTTAATATCACAGCCTGAGATTTGTCATGCGTGTTTACCTTCTCATACAAGGCTTCCTTTTAGTTCACATAAATTAAGCCATTGAGCATCAAGATTTTTCCCCTTATAACATCAACCCAGCAGAACAGATTAAAAATAAAAACAACAACAGTGTTGACTGTTCACCGTCTAATTGCTGGTTACGATTCAGCTCGTGCATTCTTCCGATCACGTGTTAACCAGAAGTTCCACACCCCATAAACTGATGTTCTTACACAGCGGATTTCTTCGAGGAATACGCACCTCTTTTGTTATCATTAGAGCAGCATGTAAACGAGCGGGGGTTCACCAGTTTGAGTGTGCCCCGGCCTCCTAAGTGCAGTTTTCTGGTAAATAGTTTGAGGCACATTTACAAACATTTACAAACGACATGTTCTTTTAGCAATGCTAACCTTACGAAATTTAATGCTTGTATGTCGCTTTACATAGTTTGTTTTTTTATTTATCTTTAGTTTAATAATTACAAGTTTCCACCCATTGCCTATACATATATAATGCAGCTTAGCATGCCCAGCTTACTACTTTTATTAGCTTAAAATAAAGACCAGCTTGCATGTTCTTTGTTTCCATTAGTCATTGTAGACAAAACATCATTTTGGCAGAGCACAGTGACATCCTATGTTTCTTCATTTAGTTCTCATTGAACAATAAAATATAGAATAGGATGCTATCAAACGTTCATCGAAAATTAAAGTGTCTGGCAACAGCAAGGTAAATGCAGAAAAACTGGACTACAATTTCTAACTAAAACAAATAAAATAAATTCTCTCTCTCTCTCTCTCGCTCTCTCTCTCTCTCTCTCTCTCTCTCTCTCTCTCTCTCTCTATATATATATATATATATATATATACATACATATATAAGTAAAGATAAATACAGATACACAATTAAACATTTAAATCATAGCTACATCGTAAATGGTATTGTTCCATAAAACATTGAAGCAACAACTTTTAAATAACAAAAAAGCAGCAAATTATACAATAAGGGTTTATTGTATAAAGCCTTATTGAATAATCATACACTTCATTGTGTGTGTTGCTCTTAAAAGTGATGGATACAGAGATGGACGGAAAAATGTAAAAATAAAACTACAGTAAACAGAAAAACTAAAACAAAACGTCAGCTGAATCAAAGACGGTAGGCAACTTTAGTGAAACATAAGTAAGAAATGTTAGTGTAAGAAGGAAAAGATTGGTCTATAAAGTTATTAGGCAATATCTCAACAACGGAGAAAATGTTGCTTTATATTTTAATGAATTATGTTGCCATTAAAATATACAGGCTATAGTCGTAAAAATATGTCAGCAAAAGAAACAATCACACAGTTTAACTTAAAAAGTGGTCCACAACTTTAGCCTAATAAAAATAGCCGGCCTAATAAACTAAAATAAAAGGACCCTACAGTCAACATGTAACAAGGCCAAATATAAATTATTACTATTTATGGTGTGTGTTAAATCTTGTCATGTTTTAATTTATTTTGAACAACTTTCATACAGTTGTGTGTGGTTTGTGTAAAGCACTGAGCTTTGTGAAGTTGAACTTTCTTTCACCTGAAACATTCAATCCTATCTCATATCAAATAATTAGCCCGCTCCTCTAATACACTGATGGAAAAGTGTCCTGATTGATGTGACAAATATACGTGTTTGTGAATGCCGTCCACGCATGATGCAACTAATTTATTTCTCATCGGGAAAGATTTCTGACTTTGAATCTCATCCCCCGGTAATGGATTGGACACGGAGATTCGATGTCGCTTTAAAAGAAAAGGGTCGAGGTATGCATCATGCCTCACTTTCTGTTTTCCATTTGCTCCTCTGTGGCTTTTTAAAAAATTCGATAATATCCCATTTCAACGGGATCTATCCCAAATCGTCACATCCGTCATCGAAAAGAGTGATGGTTCAAACTTTAGAAGAAACGAAAACACAACGCAGTTTAACTCCCAGCTTCTTCTACACTTTATTGTACTACTCAGATGGGGTAAAACATTCATTTGCATAGTAACACTGTTCATTCTGATTTCCCTACAACCTGAAAAATCCCTGACCTTACTACTCATGTTTAATTTGGCTTGAATGGCTGACATAAAGCTCTGCCACAGCATAGAAATGAAATCACTCTTTACGCGTTTTCGGTGGTAAATAAACAGTTTTCTCCTCTCTTTGAAGCCGCCTTATGAAAACCTGCAGGATTCATTGGCTGATGATAATAAGCTTCAGCCCGCAGATAATGACACCCTCATTAGCAGGTGAAAGACCCCCGTTAGCCCTGCTTATTTTAAAGCCAGCTTCTATCTTTTGTCTTGGCGCGTTTTTGACAGTAAGGACAACATTTGAAGCGACCCCCCTTCCTTTTTTTTAAAAGGCGAGTGTTAATTGAAACCTACTAAGCCTGTGGGGTATCTCTTCCCTGCGTACATGAAGGTGAATGACAGTGACCCCCTCTGTCGAAGCCCCTATTGCTCAGTGGAAAGCCCAAGGTGAGTGGACTGAAACGTTAAAGGGATGATCAGGTGCTGCAGGGCTTTTCAGTTTTAGTTTTGCGCGAGTCACACGAAGATTTCAGGACTTTCGGTCCAGGCTTTAGACAGTGTACATCTCCACCTGGCGTATTCATCCATGTAGGCCCACCACTCATATTTTATGATACAAATGTTTTTGCATGATCACAGCAAAGCCCACAAGAAAATGTGGGCTTTGATTTGGTCCAAACTCAAGGATGTAATAGTATTAATAAGAAATGCATCAGTGCCTCTAAAAAGTCAGTGAACTGTAACCGCAAAGCCAGCATTTATGATATTTTCCAAAGTCAAATATTGATAAGTTCCTCTGATGCACCAGTCCGAATATCCACTTTGATTGTCACTTAGGTGATGATGGCTTTGCCTTTCTTCATCTAGACAGTGAAGGAAAGCGAACCTTCGCTCACAATTGAGTCGCTGCCTTCAGTGACTGATCACAGTCTAAAGGATGCTATGGCCCACGACACCCTGAAAAAGGAGAATGGATGCTGAATATTTACAGAGTCACCTCGTCTCCCCCCATCGTCTTTACTGAGTGGTGGACAATATTGGACAATAACCTTTGTGGTGGGGGGGTATACGGCTCTAAAGTGCCTCAGAGCTAGACTAGCTTTACGGCCGCCCTGGCGTCGTATCCTGCTGTGGCGCACGTCCCCCTTCAGACTGTTCTCTGCTGGTCGGTGCTGCAGTCTGAAAACCACAGTAAATTCCTAGAGGTGCACACTTTTTTAGCACCATTTGAGTCATATGTGAGGGCATGGGGTGGGAACAAATTGGAGGTCATGAGCCATAACGTGCGTAAAACACACTGGAGACAATATTACGCACAGTTGTCTTGTAGCTTTGCTTTAATAACTGGTGCTCAAAGTTCTGAAAACGCTGAACTCATATGTTTTGCGTCAGACTGAAGCTTTTTCTGAAGCAAAATTCACCATAAAATGTAGTCGAAAACAGTGATGACAGAAAAATGTGTGTCTGGACAGACCCAGTATACAGACCCTGTTATTTATCATTAAAACTGGGTCGAGAAAATAAAAATAAATAATAATTATTATGTTTTGGGTGCCAAACCAATTAAATCACACGAATCTTTCTACAATGCAACACATCAGGCTGTCAGGAATTTGTGGAGTAATTGTTAGGACGCAAATGTTTTACAAGAAAAACTTACACATATCTGAGATTCAGCGGGCTAAGCTGCAGTGGGGGGACTTGTGATTTTAGTGCAGTCCTAAATATTAAAGTTTTTAGTCTGCACATCAAGTCTTTATTATTAATTTTTGGCATTAAAATAGTGTTTGGATATTTTTTACTTCACAAGGCAAAAAATAAATAAATTAATAGACGCGCTTTTTTTCAGGACCGAGTGTGAGGTTCTGTGAAAAATAGTTCTGTGACCTGCTAATTTTAACAAAATAATTATTCCTCGTCAATCATCTTTTGTTGCCTCACTTTTCACTCAGCAGTTCACTCAAAACAAGAGTGAATCTGGAGATGTTTCTGTCGTAGCTTTGGATTTGGTGAATTGAAGCCCTGTCCTGTCCAGTCCGAGTGGAATTGTGACAGTTTGTGATAGGACGAAAGTTTTCAGTCTCAGCCAATCCGCGCGCCTCGCTGCCTACTGAGTGCAGACGCTCTACCAATCAAAGCCGGGAGCGCTGACCAGGGGAGACAGAAGAGCTCCGCTACTTTTGACGGGCTGCTCTCACTTTGAACCGGTGTCAACAAACAACAACGACATATTTCTCCCGGGCTACACCGTCTTAGCACCCGCGTTTCTCAGAAAACCTCAATACCGGCGATTAAAACCAACAGAATGAGAAATATACTCTTTTAACGACCCCCAAATCACGCTCTGCCTTTTTTCCTCGTCAAATTTGCCTCCTCAGAGGCTCGTGGCTGTCCCGGGACGGTGCTTGGCTTTAGCACGAGCACGGCTAACTTTTCTCCGAAGCTACACAGGATAAATTTCGGGGAAAATTCTCACAGTCGACGGGGAAACCTTTGTAACAACGTCCACCTGCCGCTCGGTCGGTGCTAGAGCAGCTGGAGGAGGAGGTTCCTGCAGTCGTTGGGGTGTCGGTGGTATGACTGCGTTGGCGGGGTCAATACCCAGGATGATGCGACCCTCGCTGACCCAGAACTATCCCCGCAGCGGCTTCCCTCTGGAAGGTAAAAGGACGCTTTAGTGGCTGAAGAGTTTCTGCGTTTGAGAGCTAGTTAGCAAAAAGGCACTATTGTTTTTATACAGTCATGTCCCAAAGCTCAGCTCCAAGACTACCTTTGTTAGGTCACAGTGACAGGAATTAGAGGTTATATACCTATAAAATAGCCCCACATCTCAATTGACAGATATTTAACATTTTTATTAGGTTTTATTAATTATTTTTAGCAATGTTTTCACATTTTTGTACTTTTTTGTTCAGATTTATCCTTTAAAAAACTTTAGGCCATTTTAATTTTCATAAATGTTTGCCCCACTCCGATAACATAATCAGCTCTATTCTTTGTCAAGTGGAGCATTTGTCGCCTTCCTTTTTTGCTGTTTATAGCCTATATAATTAATGCTATATTATATATTATTTGTATATTATTTTTGCGTCTTTGCTAAACTTGCCCTCTCTGTGGTGACCAGTTCTCGTAATATTTTGATCCAATCCAGTGTCTACACCGCTGGGTCAAGGCCGAGTCAACCAGCTCGGAGGAGTTTTCATAAATGGCAGACCTTTGCCCAACCACATCCGCCATAAGATCGTGGAGATGGCCCACCATGGAATCAGGCCATGTGTCATCTCCCGACAGCTCCGCGTCTCCCACGGCTGCGTGTCCAAAATCCTGTGCCGGTACCAGGAGACCGGCTCCATCAGACCCGGGGCCATCGGAGGCAGCAAACCCAAGGTAGGGACCGGAGTCTCTTTGATCCAAATCCATGTAAGGGTGTTTGACGTGGATTCATTTTAGTAACCTGTTGATTTTACTGATAATAGAGTCATGTGCCTTGTGCCCCAAGGGCCACAACAAGTGAATAAACACAGCGACTTTTCTGACCTTTGAAGCAGGGGACATCGCCGGACGTAGAGAGGAGAATAGAAGAATACAAGCGGGAAAACCCGGGTATGTTTAGCTGGGAGATTCGGGATAAATTACTGAAGGATGGGATTTGTGACCGCAACAACGTTCCGTCAGGTAAAAAATAAAAATAAAAAGTCAGAAAAGAACAGAGTGTGCCTACTAGCTACACTTTTTCAAAAAATTTTACTTTATTATTATCAGTTGTTTTTATTTGTATTTTCCCCCAATATTTAATTACTAAATCTACATCCTGATAAAAATATTTTGAATTTGGAAAATATAACAATAAATAAACGGCAACTTTTCAACTTTTTAACATTTCTGACAAACCAATTTATTCCAGATTGTTGTTTTTGATACTTTAACTATTAGTTATTCATTTATTCCACTTCTTAAAACAATTCATATAATACATTAATTTTACTTCCACTCTTAAAAATATTTACTTTATTTATTTATTTATTTTTACTAACTGCTTTCCTTTATCTTAACGTACTTTCACAGTGAGCGCCATCAGTCGCATAATGCGGAGTAAGTTTGGGGGAAAAGGCGACGAAGAAGAGGATGAAGATGAAATTGAGAAGAAAGAGTTGGAGGACAACGAGCGGAGGGCCAAACACAGCATTGAAGGCATCTTAGGAGACAGATGTGAGTGAACTCTCCCAGCTGTTATTGTTTTTGTTCTTGCGAAAGAAAATAAGTGAAACGACTTATCTTTTTTCATATCAGTGAGCTTGATTAGAAACATTAGAGCTCAGCAGAATCCCGTTTGATCTGATACGGTCTCAGTTTGCTGCAGTCATTTCAAGATGGGAAGTTGCCTATCAGTGTAGTGAAAGTGGAAACACCCGCCTATATTCTGTGTTGTTGTAATTAAAGGGGGCATACGCTATCATGATCTCCACCACAGCCTCCACACCTCCAACCTGTTGAGCTGTGTGTAAAATAACATTGCTTCATTTGGTGGTGAACTGGGCTTGTCTGTGAAGCTGCTGCGTGCTGTAAAGTTGCTGTGTGTGTGGGTGGAGAAAGTGTGTGCGTGGAGCTTTGTTAGGAATTCTTTATCGACCATATCTCTTCGCTAATGCTTTTCCCATGAGGCCGTACCGTAAATCAAACAGCAGGTGATGGCTCTGTGCGGGAAAAAAAAGTAAGAATGTGTGTGTGTGTGTGTGTGTGTGTAGTTTAAAAGCAATGTGGTGCTCAATAGCCGTGTTACAGTAACTGCATATTATTATGCACATATTTCAAAAACTCCTGTGTACTTATGGAGCGTCATAAATCCACGCAGCACTTGTAAGAGCAGTGTCTTCATGCATTATAGAAACATAATTGGCGTTATGCAGTAGTTTGATCTTTTTGTTTATAATGTAACCGATCGATCTTTATTGGTGCTGCAAAATGCTGTCGACTATAAACATTAAATAAATAAAGAAGAAAAGTAAGCACCTGTTGGAAAAGTCTCACAATCTACGGAGAAATCCGAGTTTTATGAAAATAATTAATAAATATGACATAGATAGATTTTTTTCTTTTTGTATGTTTTTTTTTAAAATTGGAAGTTCATTACTTTTATTACTTTTTTTAAAGTAGTTGTTAAGTGAATGAAACATGGCATATTCCCCTGCCTGCAGTCGCACTCAGACAGAAGCCTAATTGGAGATTAGTGACGTTTGAGGTTTGGGGTATCATTACTTCATAGCTGCATAAGGTCCAGTTAACTACCTCATTTGCAATGTCATCACTTTACCTTTAAGCTGCGTCATTAGAGTGGAAATTCGTTCTATTTGGTACCTTCCCAACTATTACTGCGCATATGCAGCTTCACTCCTAAAAAAGCCTGTAATGTGGTAATGTGCGTGTCAGCATTTACTCGGTGAAATCACTTTAAACATTTTCTTCCTGGAAAAGTTCATTATAATTTTAACTATCGCTCAGAGGGTCGGTTAAATTGAAACGAGGCATATAATCCAGGAGAGAAACACTACGAATGATGGATGTCCGCTCCATTTATCCCCATTTTTCTATGGAACTGGGGGCATTATAACGAAACCTTTATTTACCGACTGCTTTCATAATCAAGCTATTACTATCTATCAGCCGTTTGGCACCAAATGCTAGAATGCGTTGCTTATTACAAGAGTACGACAGTTTCCATTTCCTTTCCTACCACTTATTAAATCAGTTTAAGCCGCCAAATGTCAACATTTAACCCACTGTTTCCCTCTAAGCACTCGCTCGCTGTCTGCGTCGGGGGAGGACAGATAAAGGTCTCTGGTTTGAGGAGACAAAATGTCCCCCAGATGAGTTGATCAAACATTTGTTCAACGGTTTCCATCTCCTCACAAAGGCACGCCTCGCGCGCACAACGGGACGCTCAGGGATGAACTTGGGAGACAAAGGCGTGAGAGTCTATTTGGGGCTCACGCTTGGGCTGCACGAGGACAAAAGGCCAGCTTGGAAACAGCTTTGGCCGGCGCAAAAGAAGAAGAAGGCAACCTGCTTATAATTCAGCCCGAGAAAGAAAAAAAAAATGTGGGGGGAGAGAGGAGAGCTTCTGCACAGAAAAGCCCAACGACGCACATTATGAGGCCGCAATGAAGGATGAATTATTCAGGGAGCGCTCCGGCGCGGTTTAGAGGGCCCGTTCACCGAGAGAAAATGGCCGTTTTCACCTACAAAATGTTTCCTTTTGGGGTCGGCTAAAAGGAGCCGGCTGCCATTCAGAATGACAATTCAGGCCTCTGAAATCCGCTCACGTATCGCCCGAAGTTGCGCGCTCGCTCCCAGAACCCGCGCGCGCACGCTGCCGCTCGCGTGTGCGCTGAAAGTGTACATTAAACATTTACAGTCGGTTAGCCACTTTGAAAGTAAGCTAACAAGTGGCACGCAGCAGGATGGAGCTGGTAAAACTGTGATCAAGAAAATAAAAGCGCTTTAAAAATGAAGACGTAAAGATGCTTAGTTACAATTTTTGTGTTTTAATTATTTCTTTAAACTTTTCTGTTTTGTTTTTTTTGTCTGACTACAGTAAACTTTGAAGAAGTTTCTTGCTGTGTGCAACCCCACGCGCTTAAAGCAACATTGTCCCATTAAGCAGCATCTGATGAAGCGTAATTACCGCGTTTGTCATAATGTTCAGAATGTAATTGGTCAACAGTACAAAGTGGCCTTCTCCCCCTCGACGCATGAATTCCGTGTCCAGCCTGTAATACGCCATCCATTATCGATTCTTTGAGGAGTGCCGGCCTTGCCCCCTCGAACATCAATAATGTCTTCTAAATGATGTCGATATTGTGCTATGTCACATTTAATGATGGAGGGAGTGTATTAAAGAGTGTTTGCGGTGAATGGGGACCAATGTTCTCCCCGGAGAACCCCGATCTGGCCCGGAGCGCAGCTTCACAATGGTGCACCCCCCGGCCACCCGTCCTGCGCTGCGCACAGCTCCGAAAACCCTCCGCACCCCACCGCCCCCACCTCCTCTTCTACCCCCACTTGCTCCCCAAATCTCTTCAAGCAGATTAAATCGACCCTTTTATTTCATCTCACTTTCATCTGGAGAGCAACACCGCCCCTCTCCCTCTGTTTCCTACTCCTCTCTGTCTCTGTCCCTCAGCCCGCGGCGCTGAGCTCGTTTCATATCTGAGCCGCATCCTCCGGAGCGCACAAAAGAAAGTCAGTCCACTCTCTAAAGTTTTCTAATCAAGCTCTGTATTAACCGTTTGTGGGGTGATTGTGTATGGATTTATTGCAATTTCAAGCCTGATTTTAAAAGTTCCCATTTGTAAATGTCTCGTCTGCCCAGCTGTTTAAACTGGAGCAGCACATAGTGTCTTCGATCTCAGTGAACTGACATAAAGCGGTGGCAATAACACCATCACTTACAACCGCGTTTTGTCCTATAAAAAACCCCATGTTTCAACAAAAAGTCACATTTGTTGAAAAAGGTAGCTTTATTGCATTAATCCCCTATTGGTAGTCATAGTCACAATGAAGGATTTAGACCTAATTTTAAAAGGTGAAATATATAAGCAGCCTGGTTCTAAACTAATTATATAAGGGCTTAAACACTAAGAAATGCCTAAAAGCTCACCTTTTGATTTACAGGTAAACATTTTCTTCCAAATTCCCATGCAACAAGGAAATTGAAACTAAAAGAAAGGTTCCCCGAAATCATAATGCCTCTTCTCTTTCAGAATAAATACATCTTTGATAGTAAAGTTGGCCATGCAGACCTGTCACTGGGCTGCACCAACCTCTCAGCCTCATAGTAATTAACCCTGCAGACAAAGTTAATGATTAAAACAGTCACAGTGCCCCCACCTCCTCCCTCCCCTGCTGCACATTTTCACAGTATATCTTTTGGAGTCCATACTTAGTTAGGTGAAATTAGCCAGATAATACAGTGGAGCCTTGTTGAGAGCCAATACATTTCCATTTAGGCTGGCCGTGTGTGCGCGTACACAACATGCATGCATACACACACATTCCACTCTGCAATGCAAACAGTCAAAGGGATAACTTTATTTGGTGAAAGGGGATCCTGGAAAGGGCTAATTGAATAAGCCCGGGATCTTTGAAAAACCCCTACCATGGTGAGCGCAGTCATCATGTCATAATTAGGTTTATTGAGGCGCATTCCTTCAATCTGCCTCCATTCTGCCGGCCTCATTGTATCCGTGGCCTGGGCCAATGGCCGAGGGACAAAAGAGAACCGTGAGCAGACAATACATGAAAGAGCCATAAAGATTTAGCTGGCTTTGTCACAGAAACGGAGCAGGACTTTGTTTGTGTAAATAATGCGGGTGAAGGAGGGACTCGGGGTTTCTCTGCCACTTGGGGTGAAGATGGCGTGCTGCAAATGTGATACATGGGCAGACCCTGGACCAATGCCATGACTGGAGAAAACAACAGATCGAGGGGGAAGGAGTGAAGGAAAAAAGTGAAGGAGCTGAAGGGGAGGCAGAGGATGGGTCGAGAGGACATAAGCCTAAGGCTTTAGCTCAGCCAGACTTTTAACTTGAACTTTTGTATATAAACTATAGTTATTATCTAAAGATTAGTTAAACTACCTATTTCAGTTCATGCCTATGCACTTCAGAACGCTTAAGGCAGTGGGTGTGTGCTACCTTATGTAATAGAATAATTTCTTTCTTATTTCTGGCTGTTACAAAAAGGGTCAAATAAAATCTCAAAGTTGAAAACTTATTGTACTTTTCACTAAGCTGCTAAGCTGAAACAATAAGCCAGTCAGTCTGTAAACATACCTCAGATTCTCTCTTTTTAGCTTCACCGATATGAGCGTCTGATGCTTTCCTCTATTTGGTTTAACTGTATATTAAACATATTTGGGTGTCTGGGTATAGATACAAATAAGACAAATGTGACCTTGGATTTTTCTAAAATTTGTAACGCACATGTGATGATGTTTCACAGACCAAAGTCATTAATCATAACTGTGAAATAATCAGTAAATGAAATCGTAATTAAAGTAACTGCCCTAATAACTTACCAGTTGCTGTTTTGTCATCAGATCTGACAAACACAGAACCAATAAGATCTCGATAGATCCTGTAGCTATTAGCTGTTAGTGGCCTGAGCCAAGTGTCTGGTGAAGAGGGCTCTGTCTGTCCACTGAAAGAATG